GAGAATGGTGGTGGTATCACAGGTGGCAGCAGCAAGCAGGAGGGAGGGCCAGTTTGAGGGGGAGCAGTTCTGTTTGAGGCTCCTTCACTGGTGAGCACAAAGCGATCAGAATGCATCTGGTTGTGTGGCAGTGTTCACTAGGCTCAGGAGCAGATTGATTTCTTCCCCACCCATCCCCAGAAAAGGTGTAGGTAAACTAAATAAGAAAGATGTTGCTGAGTTTTCTTCTTGGTGTTGTGGCACTTGCCTGTAATCCCTGCACTTTAGAGGCTGAGGCAGTAGAATCACCAAGAGTTTGAGGCCAGCCTGGGCTACATAGTGAGTTAAAGGCCAGACTGAACTACATAGTTGTTAAAGTTTTAACAACTTCTTTTAAACATGTGCCACTTGTGGGTAGATCTAATTTTCTTTTAAAAAGTCACTGATGTATATGGAATAATGTGAAATCTGTGTCTCTCTACCTTTGATCATCCTGTCTCTCTTACTCTATCACCCAGAATATAAGCTGTAGTACCAATTTAGTGTGTGTCCTTCCTTCTCCTTTGCACTTTTTCCCCTGACAAGGTGATGGTTTACTCGTTGCTTAGTGGCTCCTGCTTTTTCCCAATGCATCAAGTCCAAGCGATTTTTCCACCTGAGCACATCAGTTCCTCTGAGCTCCCCTTGTCCTTATCCTCACATTGCCTGTAGAACCTTCCCCAAAGGGTACTGAGGTGAAGCTTTGGTGTCTCCTGACATAGGGTTTCTTTCTTATTTGCTAATGATGATAAGTTTTGGCCCATTTTTCTGTTGAATTATTTATCATTTATGTATTGATTTGCAGAAGGAGTGAGCTTAGACACAAGTGATTTTGGGAAAAATATTTACATTAAAAGTAACTGACTGGTATTATTTATCCAGGAGATTGGACAGACAGGAAGTTCAGCTTCTGAGGGGAAGTCTCATCATTTGTGCGAGCATCTCCATATTGTTTCTTTATTGTGCAAACTGGGGAGCGGTTAGTTCTGGAAATGAAAAAGCTGCTATCTTACCTTTGTTTGAATATCCCCCAATTTGCCAAGATTCCTTTACTTATTCTACTCATTCTTTTCCTAGTTATTTAAGGATATAAACTGTTTCTTCACAGAAATTTCCAAGGAAACTCTATTCAGGATATTCAAAAAAAGACATGGAAAACATACCAGTGGGCAGAGAAACTGTATCTTCTTTCCAAAGGTGATTACAGGGCCAGGGGTATAGCTCAGTGGCTTAAGCACTTTCCTGAAGCCTGAGGTCATGAGTTCGATTCCTGGTACAAAAAAAAACAAAAGATGAAATATGAATACAAAAAACTTCTTTGTAAGATCCTTCTTGGTCTAGAATTTTGAGGTCAATACCTCTGAAAAAAGGTATTTCCTCACTTATCCCATATCAGCCTCACTTGATTGAAATTCTCTAAGTATGTTAAGAATTAAATTTCGTGGCGATTGCGAGTATAGCTCAGCAGTGAAACACTTGCTTAGGTGTGTGAGGCCTTAGATTCAAGCCCTCGGGAGAGAGAGAGACAAAAAGAAGGAAAGGAAGGAAGGGAGGAAGAGAAGAAGGAAGGAAGGAAAGAAGGAAGGAAAAAAGAAAGAATTAAATTTTATAAACACTGGGAAATAAATAAATTTCAATTAGTTTTCTTTATACAAGGAAAACATGATTATATTCTTAATGAATAAAAACAAAATGGCAAGTATAGTAAAGACCTTCCTTATGCTCTAATGTTGTATCAATGAAGTAACCACTAGTCTGAGTTTGTAATGTATCTTTCCAGTTCTTTTCTCATGCATTTGTTTACATACATACTTATTTACAGCAAACTAGGTTTGTCAGGTGGCTGTGGTTTTTTTTTTTTTTTTTTTTTTGCGGTACTGAGAATCAAACTCAGGACCTTGTACTTGCCAGGCAGGCACTTATACCACTGAGCTATATCCCTAGCCCAGGTGGCTGTGATCTTATTTTTCATCTGTTTTTAAATTTTATTGATACATTTTAGCTGTAATGATTATAGGAAATTTGTACCTGTACTTAATATATCTTCATTCTTCCTTTTCCCACCTCTCCCTTCTACCTGTCTTTATTTACAAAAGCTTTATTTCCATTTTCCCTTCTATTCTCTTTTATTTTTGCTTCCTTCTTCCTCCCTTTCCCCATCTCTTGTTCCTCTTCCCGTTTGAATATTTTCTTTCCATTTCCCAATAATTCTTATATATTTTGATTCTTTCATTTTCTCACACCAGAGAAACAATGCAGTATTTAAACATGTGTCCAATATATTTCACGTAAGCGTGTACTCACAATGTGTATCCATTTACCTAGAAGTGTCTCAAGTTTATCCTTCTTTATGGCAGAGTGGTATTCCACAGTAGTACCCACATCTTCTTTACCCATCCATCCACTGATGGGCATTATTAACCTTGAACTGTTGAATTATTGAGCTGTTTCCAAGATCTAGCTATTACACATTGTGATGCTATAAACATGGATGTGTATCTGTTGCTATAGTGTGATGCTTTTCATTCCTTTGGGAAGATATCAAGAAGAAGAATTGCTGGGTCAAATGAAACCTGTAGTTATAATTTTTTGAGGATTCTCCACGCTGATTTCTACAGTGGTTGCACCAGTGTATACTCCCACTAACAGTGGAGAAGGGTTCCTTTAACCCCACAGCCCCACCAGCATTTGTTATTGGTTGATTTCTTGATAATTGCTATTCTTTCTGGAATGAGATAGAATCTCAGCGTTGTTTTAACTTGCATCTCTGCAATGACCAGTGATGTGAACATTTTTTTAAATATATGTCTATCTACCACTTCTAGTTCTTCATGTGAGAAGTGTCTTCATTTCAAATGCCCATTTTTGAATTGGGCCTTTAAATTTGGGGAGGATCTGATTGTTTTGAGTTCTTTGTATAGTCTAGATATTACTCCTTGGAGCAACAGCTGGCAACATTTTTTCCCACTCTGTGGGTTATCTTTTTACTCTGTTTTTCTTTTTTTTTTTCTGTGCAAAAGCTTTTTGTTTGTTTTTGAGACAGGGTCTTGCTATGTGGTACAGGCTGGCCTTGGACTCAGTTATGGAGCCCAGGGGGGCCTCCAACTCATGGCAGTTCTCCTGCCTCAGCCTTCTGAGTGCGAGGATTACAGGCATGCACCACCACACCTGATCTTCAAAAGCTTTTTAATAAGTGCAGGTCCTAGTTGTTGATTGTTTGTTATTTCTGTGTGATTAGTGTTGTGTTCCTAAAGCCTTTGCCTGCACCTATGTCTTCAAGAGTTCTACCTATTTATCTTCCAGCAGATTTAGTGTTTCTGTTTTAATATTTAGATATTTAATTTATATTATTTTTAGTTTAGTGCATAGTGAATGATATGGGTCTAGTTTTAATCTTTGAGATATGGAGAGCCAGTTTTTCCAGCACCATTTATTAAAGAAGCTCTCTTTTTCCACGGAGGGCATTTGTCCCTTTGTCGGAGATAAGGTGGCTCAGT